TTTAGTTTGATCTAGGGTTATTATTTACTTTATTTACATTTCAAATTTCTTTGGTCAGTTCAACTTCAAACATTTGTTCAAACATTTTAAGTCATAAATTCCTTTGCTTTATTATTTGGTTTTATAATATTTTAGAATAATTTCATTGTCATACAGACAAAATGTACGTTATGAATTCAATAATTCCTGGTAGCATAAATGAGGTTTTTCTATCACTAGTACCTGGCTTTGTTAGCTCATTCATACCTGTTTTCAGAACTTTTCTATATTTGGTTGTACTCAACACCCTCTTGTATATGACGGAAATTCCTATATTTATCCACCACCATAATATCTTTCATTTAGACTCCACCCCTTTTTTAGTTCTCTAGTTTTTAAGTAAATTTAATTTTGTTACTTAGTATGTAAGAAACCTTCTTATTAAACACATCAACCCAATTTCGCTACTAGTTTTATTTAAAACATTCTAGTAGAACGGGAGTTCAGTAACGCAACTTCCGAGTGGTCTCCGGATAATTTTTTATCTTACTACTGCACAAAACAAACTGTTTAACATAAAGCTTCATATGTCAACCACAATACAACTTCTGTTATTTTAAATTTTTCGATAATAGAAAAAAAAACAATTCAAAACAGAAAGGATAGTAAATGCTTTCCCATTTTTTTTTATATAATTGTATCGAATTATTGAAAAAATATTGTACATACTTGAAGATGTCTTTTTTTATTGATTTTGAATTTAATAGCAAAATTGATGTACAATAATTTACACGGTACAACGAATTTCTCGAACAATTTAGAAAGTATATACCTAAACAGTATTTTTATTATTTATGCTCCTATCAACTTATGCACTCGTTGCATTAAGAACAGTTGCCCTTAATCGTAAATGATTACCGTACACTTATGTAATCAGGTATTTGAACTTTCACATAGCACAACCTCGGTTAGCATACCAAATTTTACTCACTCCAGTGGGTCAGAAGCAGCATATAAATGATAGTGATTTATAAGTGTGCTTTTTCTCAAACTAGTAGCATTTTGTTTTAATGATTTCGGTTATGTACTGACCATGCGCAAGTTTGCAAGAAGAAACAATAAATTTTTTCCTTCTTTGATTACATATGGACATATATTATGTGCACTATCGTAGTCGCATTAAGGTAGTTCTGAAATCATCTTTAGATTATCATCGAGAGATACACTGAAAATCGAACATACTTTTGAAGAGGGGCTCTTTATTATTACATAAATACCCCAATTCTGTATTTATAGCAGTTTATACCTTCTTCCTATCTTGTAACAATCTTCGCATATCTCGAAAATTTCATCATTATAGTTAGTCTACGTTTACGTCTACCTCTGCCCCTTTCAACTTCTGTTTCTGCTTGTATCTCTAACTAGTCTGAGAAGATGTCTACCAACCCATTTCCACTATTTCTTATTGGCTTCGATAACGCCTTTTATTCTCCTCATTTTTTAACCTTCTCTACCTACGGTATTTTTGGTGGTGTCCAGATAGATGCGGAACCGACAAAAAGCGGAACCGGCTAAAATGCGGAACCATCCGTTTCTACCCCTAATTATTTCTCAGGTATTAGAAATAATAGGAGAACAGAGGACTCTATGGAAGTCAATAAGAAATAGGCGAGATAGGTTGGTAGGACACCTTCTCAGGCATGAAGGTCTAGTCAGAGACATTTTAGAGGCAGAAACAAAAGTTAGGAGGGGTAGAGGTAGACCTAGATTAGATTACTGTTCGCAAATAGTTAAGGATGTGGGCTGTTCTAGTTT